ACCCAAGTCAAGATTTTGTATCGTGTTGAGGACTGTGTGGCGTTAGGGTGGCTAAAAATGATACGTCGTTAGCGGTACACCACCCAAGTTAAGGTGAAAGGTTAAAACGCGCCGAGAACTGTATGGCATTAGGGTGGATAAAAATGATATGTCGTTAGCGTTTTCCCCTCAAGACTCAGGCGCATCTTGTTGTACATAGCCTTGCCCCTTTATTGGACCTCTGGGGGGGTCGACCGTTTAAATGTCCATTACTCGTGGGAACAAAATGGTAAAAAAAAATATAAAAAATACAAACACAAATAAAACAGAAACTGCAACACAACGTAAACGAAGGCTTCAAAAAGCGAAAGAAAAGTATAAAGCAAAACGAGCTAAAGAAAGTGAAGGTGATAGAAATAGTCGATTACAGAAACGACGGGAACAATTAGCGTCAAAAACACCTGAGCAATATGAGGCCAGGTTAAAAAAGCAACGTCAGCGATATACACAAATGACGGCGTCAGAAACGCCTGAAGAATACGAAGCCAGGTTAACAAAGCAACGTGAGCGATACACACAGATGATAGCGTCAGAAACGCCTGAAGAATATGAAGTTAGATTAATACAAAGCCGTGAAAGACAAAGACAGCAGTTGGGTTCAGAAACGCCTGAACATCGCGATACGAGGTTAAATAAACAACGAGAGCGTACCCAGCAATGCAGAGCTAATAATCTGCAGGCATTCGAGAATGCTATTAACACAATTTGTATACATGTTTGTGATATTTGTACCAAACGTTGTTATCCTAATCAAGTTCGTATCATTGTTATTATGTTCCCGCTGTCAAACACATGTTACTAGTAATAAAACAACAGCACCACCAAAAGCTTACTGGAATAATCTGGATCCAGGTTCTATACCAGACGTTATTCAAACATTGACACAGGCGGAACAACGTTTGCTGTGCAGAATTATTCCCTTTGTTAAAATCGTGAAATTTAGTGGCCTCTATGGGCAGTACGGTTTTCGCGGACAGGCAGTTTTATTTGCCCAAGATATCTTTGAAGTCAGTGAAAGACTGCCTAGTATGCTACCAAGATCTGCAAGCCAGGTAGGCATTATTGTAGTAACCGAACGATTAGAAAATTTGAACATCACCAGGGAATTCACAATATGTCGCGAAAAAGTCTATAGTGCTTTAAGATGGTTAATCAGAAATAACCCGCTTTACAAAGATGTACGTATTGACGACAATGCCCAAATTAGTGACCAGGAGTTAGTACGACTTAGTGTGCCCGAATTGTCTGAAGATGAAGCGTCCGAAAGGAATGAAAATGAAATTCGAAATGCATTCATTCCAATTAATCATGTTGCAAGAATTATTCGAGCTTCATGGCATCAAGGTGACTACAACGTCTTTACTTCGCGATATGCTGGTGTACAATGTAGTGCTATGTCGTTGGCGAACATTGTCCGAGCTGCAATCCTAAGCCCTAATCAATGGGACGTCAATATTCTGAATGCTAATATGTTAACGGGTGACTCCTTATATTGCTGGCATTTACAAAATAAAAGCGCAGGATCAGCTAGTACACGCCACACGAAATGCAGACAATGTGGATATAGCTACTATAATACCAGCTGATATCAACAAAACTGGGGGTTTACCAGCAGAACTGGAAATATTTGTGGGGGCAAAAGTCATGCTACGGTCCAATATTGACGTTTCAAAGGGATTAGTAAATGGCGCTATAGGCTACATCAACGAAATCGTTTGGCCTCAATTTCGTCGAACTCAGATGTATGCAACAGATGTACCTTCCGTCCGAATTGATTTCGCAAGAGACGGAGTACATCTTATACACCCGAAAGCCATACAGTTTCCAGCTAAGTACAATTACGGGACGGCTGAAAGAAGAATGTTGCCTTTAATACTATCATGGGCTTCTACAATACATAAAATGCAGGGCAGCACTGTGGATCACGCAGTCGTATACTTAGGTGCGAAACTGTTTGAAGAAGGTCAAGCCTACGTGGCTCTTAGTAGAGTAAGAGCTTTGCAGGGACTACGTATAGAGGCGTTGGACTGCAATAAACTAACGGGCAAGAAACCTTGCAATAATGAAGCACTAAATGAATTAAACAGAATGCGAAATAAAAACTAAAAACTAGAAAATAAAAATAGGTAAAAAAACTTTTTAAGTTAAACGGTTTTATGTTAAACATACATTGCAATGTTTAAGATAAATGTACTAAAAACCAAAAAATAATAAAATAGATACAGTCGTGGGAATTATAAACATATGCATAGACTAGACTAAAATAAAACCGTGGGGCACGTTTAACTTAAAAAGTTTTTTTTACCTATTTTTATTTAATGATTGGATTTGTTCGAAACACGGCACTCGAGAGTTTTTGGGGTCGACGATTATGAATCTGAAGTCAACTTTTTTAAATTCAAAATGGCTGATCCAATATGGAGATCAAATTAAAAAAAAAATTACTAAAACTAAAACGTTAATACTGAACGTTTTTAACATTGTCAAGGGGTGAAACTCGTTTCCAGTCGCCATCTTCTTAAAAAAAATGGATCGCCATTTTGGATCCGCCATTTTGAATTTTGAAAAACTGACTTCAGATTCCTAATTAACAACCCCAGAAACCCCCTGGTAACAAGTTCCAACCCATGACAATGCGTAAATCGTTCAGTATCAACGTTTTAATTTTACTAGTCTCTTTTCGAGAGCATATTTGCGGGCACTACGCCCATTCTAACTGCCCAAGACAGGTATGTAATTAAGGGAATGTTCCCCAATAATACCAGAGTAATTATATGTAAAAACCAGATATTTAGCTGCATTTTAACATGTCAAGGAAATAAAAAAATTGAGAACATAAGCATGTTTATAAAAAACTACTCTAATGTACATACATAAGTGAGGAGCTACAATTTTAAGTAGAGTCCGACCGATTAATCGGCATCGGCTAGTATCGGCACAAAATTGAGCATCGGCATCGGCCTTTTTTCGCCGATTCTTTGGAATCTCTTTTCAAATGCTTCATAATATTTGCAGACAGCTCACAAAAATGATTTTTTTTTTTGTTGAAGGTGTTTCACGTTTTTTCCATACAAAAGTATGTGCGACAATTTTCTTTTATATATAGAACACTGCCAGCAAAAAAAATTGCCAAGAATTAACGGGATTTTATAGCAGCTTGAAACTTGCACTTCATTATACTAGAATAAAATGGTCTGCAAAACTGCATACCAAAATTCTGATTAAAGAGTTTGAAATTTTGGTGAAAATAAGCAGAATTTTTCTAATTTTTTTGCAAAAAAATAATAAACATTAAATAAAAAAGACAAAATCGGTCAAAATATCGCAATTCTTTTATTTTGTGGACCACTATATGTATGTGTACATACATACCTAGCATATAAGTTCTTATGCATTGAGTGCAAAAGAGTGTATTTTAGTACAAAACGAAATGAAATTTTATGTTCCTAAATATCTTTTGCTTATCACCATATAAAAAGTGTTTTATGTAATGTACATAAATGTGATATATGTACATATATTTTTACACATACATATGTATGTATGTACATACATGTGTATGTAATGTTGCATAACAAGCCAATTAATTCAATTATTTCTTTTCTTTTGTTTTTTTAACTCCGTGAAATGAACTGATTTTATGAATGAATACATTTATTTGTAATTTTTTATGGAATCGGCATCGGCATCGGCCGATTCTTTCCCCATAAGCCGATTAATCGGCATCGGCATCGGTACCTGAAAAAAAAATTGGACTCGGTCGGACTCTAATTTTGAGTTTAATTAAGTATGTACATACCGGGGCCGGCCGCAGGATTTCTCTTTAGGGGGTTTTTATGTAAAGTCATTCGTAACAGTCAAGAATATCATTGTTCTTTTAAGAGTTGTCGTAAATGAGCGTGTAATACATAATTGGAGAATTATAAGAGAATGACATATGTGTAAAGCAGTGTTGTCACAAAGAAATTACCAAATTCCTCAAAAACAAATAAAAAATCCTCAAAATCCGAAAAAATTACTCAAAATTTTCTTATTACAGATATGAGTATTGTGTACTATTTACAGGTACCAAGTATAAAATTTATTACATTCTCCAATTCAATTGGAACATTTGTTTTTGCGGCGCAAACAAAGTATCACCGCTATTTTGTACGCCTTGCTTTGTATATAATATTGCTGTAACTATATCAGTGCTCAATCTGGTCCTGAAGTCAGTCCTACTCATTTTTAAACTACTAAATATACGTTCTACTGAAGCATTAGAAAAGGGCTATAGTAGTAATGCAGATATAATTTTTTTTAATTGGGGAAACTTTCTGTAAATGAACCTGAAGAATATTTCAAAACCTTTTTTCCTATAATTTTCTGTGATTTCTAATGAATAATCAATTTGAATATTCGTATGATCGAACAATGCGTGTTCTCTCCATTCGTTATCGAGATTTTGCAAGTTCAAAATAAGTTGGAAATTTAACGATGGAATGAAAAAAATTTAGCAGCAAATGCAGATGTGCTTAAGAGCGAAAAACACCACACAAGCGGCTTGACAAACCAAGCGAAATATCCTTTTGGTTAAAGCTATTTATGTTGTGCACGGGGTGTTTGAAGGTTTTACCAGCCGTTTGAGGGAAACGTGAACAAAAATCAAAATTTTTTGATTTTCTGGCCGCCATGTTGACGTTTGATCAAACCGCTTACGTTGTGTATGGTAAAATCGCCTCATTCGCAACTGAATTTTCAGGGAGAAAAATCGAAGAAAACCAAACTGTTTTATATTGTGAACCGGAAGAAAACTAAAATTCTTTGCTTGAACAAGTCATGTTTGCATGGTGTATGGCGAAATGGAAAAAGTAGGTTTGAAGAAGGTTTGACAAGCCGTTTGTGTGGTGTATTTCGTTCTTTATAAAACTTCGGAAGGCTTTTTGTTCAAAAAGTTGCAGAGCGGTTTAACAACTCTGTTGTGTAAGGCATGGTTGCATTTGTTATCTGCAAATATATCGAAAGAAACTTCCTCAAAAATTCCTCAAACTAAAAATCCTCAAAAAATACTCAAGCGCACCCGAAATTCCTCACGTTTTGAGGAATTACTTACAAAGTGGTAACACTGGTGCAAAGAAGAAGTGGAAGGGGATTGAAAATGGAATTAATAAATGTCAGTTGATTACAGAACTCACACGTGTTCAGTTGCAATAGCTGGCGACGAGTCACGGAACCTTCGAGTAATAGTTATTACACACATATAAAAAAAAACCGAATGCCACTGGATACGAACACCGCAGCCATAGCGGGAATAACTGGTGGTGCGCAGACATCGCGCGTTGCAGCGTTCTATTTTGAACCATTCAACTCCGAGCTGACCACATGGAAGCGTTGGGTCAAACGCTTTGAAACCGCCATGGAGCTCTTCAATAGCGACTCGACAAAGAAGACACACCTACTACTGCATTATATTGGTACAACGACGTACATCTTGTGTGGTAAAGTATCGCCAAGGGCTCCGGAAGACATTATATACCCTGAGATAGTGACCATTTTAGAGGAATACTATGATCCAAGGCCGAACGAGACCTTGGAAAATTATGGATTTCATTTACGAAAGCAGAAGCCGGAGGAAAAGTGTAGTCAGTTTTTAATTGCTTTGCGGCGGTTAGCGAATGGGTCCAATTTTTGGCAGTACCTAGATACAGCATTACGCTACCAATTTGTGTTCAGCTTGCTAAACCAACGTATTCAAAGCAGACTCCTTGAAGAGAAATCGCTAACTGTCGAGAAGGGTGAAAATATGGTATCGGCTTTCGAAAT